CAAGCAAGGGGAACAAAGAGCCTTTAATGTAACGAGAAGACCTCCTGTCTCTTGCCAGCTAGGACCACAGTGACCTTGAGCAGAGGTCACTGCAGGATGTCTCGACAAGTCAGACAGGAGTTGTCCTGGGAAACTCAGTGTGGGAGAGCCACAGCCACCCAGGTCAGGAGCGAGCTGGCCCCCTGGGCAGGGCCTGAGTGGCCCCCTCAAGATATCCAGGGGTCCAGGAGCCCTCCGGGAGGGCCCGGGCAGCTTGCTCGTCCCATGCGATCTCCCAGCATCCGTAATTACAGTGTGCTCGCCGCGCCAGAGACCATTAAAGGGCGTCTTTCTCTTTGTGGTAGAACATAGGTGTCTTCTTGCTGCGTTCTAAAATCCCTACATTCGCTTTTATCTTTTATCGTGTAATACTTTTAATTGTAATACCATTGTTTTACTTTAAACATACAAATCTTGGTTTCATTGTTACCTTTCTTTTATTATTCTTAAGTCATAAACTCACTCCGTTCCACTCAGGAGAAGGGAGAACGATCATAGTTATTGGTGTTCTCAATCTTTTTAAAAATGTGTTTATTTTCTTGAAAGGAAAGGGTGGAGGAGGCGGGGAAACAAATGCCAATAGTCCCAGGAGAGTGAATCAAAAGCTACTTTTCTTTTTCATTGCAATAGAAAGCCAGATAAATATATATTTTTTTTCCTGCTTCAGGTCAGAAACCCTTCCCTTGTCAAAAATGCGATGCCTTCTTTTCTACCAAATCTAACTGTGAACGCCACCAGTTGCGCAAACACGGAGTTACCACCTGTTCCCTGAGAAGAAACGGGCTTATCCCCCAGTCAAAAGAGAGTGATGTTGGATCCCATGATAGCACAGGTAGTGCCGCCAGGTGATGGAGAACTGAGAGAGAGGGAGAGAGAGGAGGTCAGTTAAGAGTTGTAGCAAACCTCGGTGTCTGAGCTGTGGTGGGGCTACTTAGTAGGACCCAGAGCTGGCAGCCCAGAAAGGTGGGCCCTGACAAGGATTGGGAGCCTAAATCCTGGGGCAGATCGGCATAGATGTACAGCAGGACTGGCTCTTGAGCCAGAAGCCCAGGGAGTTCGGGGAAACAATGGCTGCGCCCCAAGGTGACGTTTCCGGGCTGCTAGGGAAGATGTCTCCTTCCCAGCAGAAGACGCCTTTGTTCCTGATGTTGGGAGGCGGGATATAAGGGAAGAGCTACAATTCTTAGCCCTTGGCGTGAACACATCCAAAAGGGATGTGAAACCTTACAGGTTTGGGGAACTCCAGCCTCTGCAGCCTGCTCAGGAGCAGGGATGGGCCCCCTGGGATGCCAGGGTATTTGCGGGAACAAGGGGTGTGAGCCCTGGGTGGGGAGGAGCACAGTGTTTCTCTTTTCAGTAACTCTCTTCCCGGTATAGAACTGTGTCCTGTTTGAAAAAGCACTCTGCATGTCCTTTCTTTAATCACATCTCTGCTTGACCCGAATCCGGGTACCATTCTCTGTCTGACGCGTGCTTCCCCCCTCCAGCCCCCACAGAGCGATTAACGGCTGCCCAGCAGGTCTTTCGCCGCCTTTTCTTCCCTTACAGCTTCTGTATTGACTCGTGTCCTCTATTCGGTACGCTCCATCCTTTCCGACTGCCGGGTTCTCCATCCTCCGCCCCCCAGAACAACAAAACAGATTGCTCAGACACTGCCCCAGTCGGCGCTGGGTAGGAACAGTGCTGGATTCAGTCCTCCGGGCCTAGAAGGCTCCCTGTTCGTGAAGCCGGGGAGATTCCCCTGTGTTCTCCTGGGGTGTAATTTTGTGTTTGGGAGACACCCTGCCCCCTACCCCCTGCCCCAGGAGTCCGTGTGGACAGAGGGTGGGGCATTAGCCCTAGCCCCCCCAGCCCTCTTGTTCTCGCCTCAGTTACAGCGGGAGCAAGGCCCATCTGAACGGAGCTCCTCCAGGAGGAGGAGTCCGTGACCACTGGAGTCGCCCTTCCCCACGCCTCCTGCCGAGCCTGGGAAGCTGATCGTGAGCGCTCTTGCCTGCCTGGCCCTCCAGTCGGGATCGGACCCTCTGAGGGGCTGAAAATGCCGGCCAGTTTGCGCCCTCCTTCCCCAGTTCCCATTTCCACATGATTCACCAGGGGCTTTGAGTAAAGAAAGGCGTGGATGCCCACGGAATCCTGCCGTCGCTTAGATCTCCGTGAGCCAAGGACGATGTGCTTTCCAACCCACGAAAGCCACGGCCATGCTGGCAGGGCACACGTTTGCTGCAGACCACGCTACTAATGTTTAATTTAACCGTCGGCCACCGTCTTACCCATTAGTCTGGAACGTTTTCTCAGCCTGGTTTAGAAAGCGGCCCTGTGATTCTTCCCATAGCAGTTCCCAAGGAGGGAGAGCAGCTGATGGTGGAGGGAGCTGAAGGGAGCCTTGGGTTCCCGTGTTCGCAAACAATTCTTTAAAGTGCAGGAACTCACGCTGGGTGTACGTGTCGCATTCAGCGTCGTGACCACATGGGATCTCACTGGGATTCCTGCTGACGTCCGAGGGCAGCCTAGAAGCTGCAGACACAGTGATAAATCGGAGTCATGGTCTCAGCTTCAGCTCAGCACCAAGTTTTACGCTGTGGGTGTATTTATAAGTTCACAGTTAAAAGTTTTTGTTTTTCCAAATCCCATGAAAGCCCTTCCCCACCTCCACCCTGCCCCAGAAATTGTATAGGTTTTCTTGAAAGGACAAAGCCTCTGGAAATAGAAAAGTCACCGAAAGTCATAATGTGAAACCAGCAAAGAGAAAGTATGTTTGGTTTAATTGTGGTCGCAATCCATGGTGAGAAAAAGGCCTGAGATTTCAGAGGGAGAGAAAGGGGGTTAGGGAGGTAGAGTTTGGTGATTTCAAGGAGAAATTTTAAAACCAGGTAAAGCTGATGGAGGTGGGGTGAGGGCTTCATTTGGGGCTCCCTCCCATGAAGCTAAAAGTGAGGCTTTGGAGGAAGGCCATTTTTTTAAAAAAAGGCAGGAAATGACCAAGGAAGTTCTTGAGGGGTTTTCTAGGTTTATATGCCTAGCCTAGATCACATTTTCTTAAAATTCCTTAACATGTTTTGTAACATAGGTCTGACTTTTCAGTCATATAAGGTCGTTCAATAAAATGTCCCAAAGATTTTCCCCCAAAAGAATGCTAAAAATGCCATAGTGGTGGTGGGTCTCCCTTAAATGGGACCATGTTGAATATTCACATTTAGACTGAAACTCTTCACAATCCTGGGCAGAGAGGTGCCCTGGCCCACTTTGCCCTTGGCCGACACCCTTTGTCCTTGCCACTGAGGGGCGCTGTCCGATCAGGTAACTAGATTGGTTGCCTGCCCCATCTGTGGAGGAACATTTGAGTTTTAGGAAGCAATAAGCTTTAATTGTTGGGCTGAATAGGGGAGTCTCCACCGTGCTGTAGGGGGAACTTCGAGTTTATAGTCTACTAGGATTCCTTCTGCTTCCTCCAGCAGTTTTCTTAGATGTTTAACACAGATGAGGAACTGATGGACAGAGGAGAAATGCATGTTTTTAAGGTAGCATTGCGTATAAAAAGCCATCAGTCAGCTCAGCTACCTGCATGTAGAAGTGTGGGTGTTGAGGGGGGGTAGGGATCTAAATAGGACCGGGCCTTGTAAGTTACATATTCACGATATGTGAAGAGGTGAAGGCTGGTATTCACAAGAGTCACTAATAAAACTCAGTTGAGGCCAGGCACAGTGGCTCACACCTGTAATCCCAGTACTGTGGGAGGCCCAGGTAGGAGGATTGCTCGCAGCCATGAGTTCAAGACCAGCCTGGGCAACGTGGCAAGACCCCGTCTCTATAAAAAATAATAAAAATTAGCCGGGCATAGTGGCACACGCCTGTAGTCCCAGCTATTTGGGAGGCTGAGGCAGGAGGATCTCTTGAGCCCAGGAGTTTGAGGTTGCTGTGAGCTAAGCTGATGCCATGGCACTCTACCAGGCAACAGAGCAAGACTGTGTCTCAAAAAAAAAAAAAAAAAAATCAGTTGGAGTTGTTTGGTACTTGAAGGGCACCGGCTACCCTGCTAAAACACTCCCCCTAGTGGGAGCTTGGTAGAATACAACCAAGCCTCCTTTGTCCAAAGAGAAGTGAGTTGGCCTTTGTTGTACTTGGGTGAACACTCCATTATCCCCACAAGGGAAGGCCCAAGGGCAGGCACAGTTTGATTAGTATATTTACCTGGATTTGGTTTCAGAATTCATTTTGATTTTTTTCAAGGGTTATCATTTTAAATATGTTCTGTACAGTTAAAATAATCCATGTTCTTTGCTGAGAAAAACAAATTAATGGAAACAGCATAGGATATACTGAGACAAAGAGAAAGTAACCAGAGATTAAACCTTTTTTAAAAAATTGGCACAAAGTCAACAAAAAGATTGGCATTTTGTATTTTTATTGTAAAGTTTATACCAAAATTCATTCTATAGATACTCTCTATTAAAATGATTCAAGAAAACGAACATTTAGTTTTTCCTTAGAATGTGGCCCAGACTTTGGTGTGCACATATCAGGATTCATAGTGTTTAAGTTTTCAGATAATTCTCAAAAATCATTTCTTGTGAAAAACTTTATATTCACACCATAGTTATGTTTCCTTCTGAAACTTTTGATACCCAAACAGTGGCTGCCAAAAGGTGTAGTCAGAGTAAAACTAATGAAAGGAAACGAGCGGAAGTTGTGCAAGCGGTTGTAGGCAGGCCAAAAGCCCCAGGCAGGGTAGGTGCTGTCTCTTTACAGCATGGGAGGAGGCAGGACCAGCTCCTTACCCAGCCCCCACGGCCACCTTGATGGCAAGTAATTGCAAACAGGTCATTAAAGAGGAATAGTAGATGAGAGTTGACATTGTGCTGTGTCTGGTCACATCAGGTGCGAATCAGGTTAGATGCATGAATCTTTGCTGGCTCAAGCACTGTAATCAGATCTGGCATATGGAGGAAGGTGCATCTAGTATGTGTGCTGTAAAAAAAGGAATTCCATCTGCCCGATTCTCCTCCAAGGAACTCCTGAACCCCTGCAGAGATAACTTGGCCACTGGACCCGCAGCTAAATAGCAGGTCCTAGCCGGCTTGGGAGTCACCGTTACAGTGCATTAAAAAAAAAGTCATTAAGTCCTAGTTCAACCTGAATAAAGAGAAGGCGAGGTAGTGCTTTTGACACCGTTTGGTGTCACTGATGTTGCCACAGTGCCCTCCCTTAAGAGGATCCTTCAAAACTGGTGGACTTTCCACATGTAGTTTTGCTGTGGGCAGTGGACAGATAGGAACGAATCAAGAGGGCGGGAAGTCAGGGTCCGAGAGAGCCTGCAACCCAGAACCCCTCATCTCCAAACCACCCACAGTCGGCTCCCCTCCCTGCGTGCTCTTGCTGAGCCTGGCATGAAGCGCCCCTTCCCTTGGTGACGTTCCCACCACCCATGGGGCCGACAGCGGCCGGAAACCTTCAAGTGCACATGCGCCTCCTGTAGCCTCTGAACTCTACCTGGAAGTGAGCTGTCAGGCAAGAGCGTGTGCACCATGTAGATACACAGAATGCAGGCTTGGGGCCATTTCCTAGGAAACTCTTCAGAGACCATGCTTTGGAGGATTCCGGGGTGGCCCTGTGAATGTTGCATGTTTGTATAATCTCTTTGCACTGGAAAAATAACTTACAACTTGGCTTCCTCAACCTCCCTAGTGCTGCGAGTCTCTGGAATGCACCCCCTCTCCTACCTCGCAGCCCCTGTCTGCGCTGCCTGAGCCACTCACACCTTCCTGCGGGGCGGGGGCAGCCGAGCGTCCCTGTGTGTGGCAGTGGAGGCCCAGCCAGCCCTGGGAACCCACCTGCGGGGATGTGGAGGCCGTTTTTGCCTTTCTGAAGTCCCCAGGTTCTTCTTGGTCCTCCTCAGGGGTGCGAGGGTGTTGAGAATGTGGGGCGAGAGAAGTCCTTACTGGGTCTGGAGTAGGGGCTGCCGGGGTGGGTCTAGGTGAGTCCCTCTGGCATCCTTGGAAGGGGCGTCCTTGGCCGCATCCCCTCTGAACTCCTCCGCTCTGTGCTTGCCCACACAGACAGCCAGTCAGACGCAGAGCCGTCGGCCACGGCGGGCGAAGTGCTGGATCTCACTTCGAGGGACAGGGAGCAGCCGCCATCCCAGGGAGCCACTGAGCTTGGTCAAGACTCAGGGGACCCTCCTGCAGAGGAAGCCGAGGAGGGATCGGCCTCCCCTGCGTGTGGGGAAGAGAAGGGGACCCAGGAGAACCAGAAGCCAGAGGAGGAGCACGGCACAGAGGAGAGAGCCGGGGACGCCGACGGCGCGGAGGAAGACACGGCCAGCAACAAGAGCCTGGACCTGGACTTCGCCAGCAAGCTCATGGACTTCAAGCTGGCCGAGGGCGAGGCGGGCACTGTAGGCAGCGGCGGCGGCTCTGCCCCGCAGGACCAGAAGCACGCCTGCGACACCTGCGGGAAGAGCTTCAAGTTCCTGGGCACCCTGAGCCGCCACAGGAAGGCACACGGCCGCCAGGAGCCCAGGGAGGAGAAGGGTGGGCCACCTCCCGAAGGTGAGGGCGGAGTGGCAGAGAGGCCACCACCCAGCCCTGAGCCGGAGGAGAAGCCCACGGAGCCCGAGGCGATGGCGCCGGAGCCGGCCCCGGGCGTGGAGGAGCCGTCAGCCGAGAAGCAGACGGAGGAGGCCGAGGGCCCCTCCGATGGGGAGGGCGCGGCCGAGAAGAGGTCCTCGGAGAAGAGTGATGATGACAAGAAACCAAAGACAGACTCCCCCAAAAGCATGGCCAGCAAGGCCGACAAGAGGAAGAAAGTCTGCAGCGTGTGCAACAAGCGGTTCTGGTCGCTGCAGGACCTGACCCGGCACATGCGGTCCCACACAGGTAAGGGCGGGGAGACGAGTCGGGCCCACCTCGTTGAGGGACACTGGTGCCGGAGGCTGCCGGTAGAGCATTCACTGAGCTTGCTGGTGTGCAACCAGCAGGAGGGCCCCGGTAAACCGGGAGTTAAAGAATTGTCCTCTTAGCCCTTGAAAATGGTGTGGGCCTCCTATAGCCAGGCAGGAGAGTGGTCCCTCAGCAGTGGTGCTTTGGAGAGCGTTAGCATCAGTCCCTTAGTCCTCTGAGCCTCAGTCTTCCCATCTGTACGATGGTGTGGTGGCTGCCCTGTCTCGGGCAGGTATCTAGAAGAAGGTGAACGCTAGGCACGTGGGGCCATGGTCTCATCAGGTCTAGTCCTGCGGCAGGAAAGACACCTGCTGCCCCAGGCCCCCGTGGGGAAGGCACTGTGTCATCCATTGGGGTCAGGTGGCTTTTCCCTTCTTGGCTGCATAGCGGCCGGGCGGAGGTGATTGGCTCCGCTGCCGCACAAGCGTAGCAGGGCTCCCGCGCTCCTCTCGGGGCTCGCTCACCACCTGCAGAGTGTAGGCCGCAGACCCCAAAGCAGGGACCTTTGTTTAGGCAGAAAAAAGGAGACCTGGTTATACTCGTGAAGCCAAAAGATAGAAACCTCCTTCCTCCCTCCTCAGTAAGCCCCAGGCCCTGGTCTCGGTCTCAGCTTCCCTCTCTCTCACAGCACGGCCTACCTCAGGTGTGTGGCCCCCCCACACCAGCCCCGTGCTCAGGGGTGTGAAGACTGCATGCTTGGCTCACGGGTATTCCTGGGCCCGACAGTGACAGTCCCGGCTGCTCCTGGCTCCGTGCGTGAGCCGTCGGAAAAGCCCCGGGTTCTCCGCATGAGACGCAGAGAGCATCTCCTGCCTTTGGCTTAGCAGGTGCTGCTGTCCGTGCAGAGGCCCGGGAGACCCCTGTTCCTGTCTGTTCCTGTCCCACCACTAGACTCTTCCCCAGGCTCTGGCCAAGGCCAGTCTGCGTGTCCCCGAGGCCTCTGCTTCTGGGATTCTGGTTTTCTGGATGAGTCTGTAGACCACTCAGGTTGCGAGAGCAGCAGGAGAGAAGCGTGGCCCTTATATGTGTCCTCGCCAGTCTGCCAGTCGGATGAAGAAGAGAGCTCTCGCTGAGTAGGAGAGGGAGCCCTCGTCCCCACCTCGCGCCGCCCAGGGAGATGGGTACTGGTGGCCCTAGCATTAATGGACGCGCAATCTCTTTCTCCTGTCCTCCAGGGGAGAGGCCGTACAAATGTCAGACCTGCGAGCGAACCTTCACCTTGAAGCACAGCCTGGTTCGCCACCAGCGGATCCACCAGAAAGCCAGGCACGCCAAACACCACGGGAAGGACAGCGACAAGGACGAGCGGGGTGAGGAGGACAGTGAGAACGAGTCCACCCACAGCGGCAACAACCCCGTCTCGGAGAGCGAGGCCGAGTTGGCTCCCAACACCAGCAACCACATGGCTGTCACCCGGAGCCGGAAAGAGAGCTTGGCCACCTCAGCCAAGGACTGCGGCCGCAGGGAGGAGAAGGCCTCCGCGGGGCGGGCGGCCGAACCCAGCCGGGGCGACCCCGACGCCGAGAGCCCCGCAGTCCTCGCACGAGACCTGCCGGAGCCGCGCAGCAAGAGGCCTGGCCAGCCGGTCCCGGCTGGTGACGGTGCCTCGCAGCTCCTGGGGATGGAGTGACAGCCCGCCCGCCCCCTCAGCACACAGACGAAAGCCGGCAGAGCAGAGCGTCTGAGTCTGTACTCACGAGGTTTCTCGCTCCCTCCGGCTGTCGGGGAGCGAGCGAGAGACGCGAGTGTGGCCGCCACCCAGTGCCATAGCCTCACCGCGGGCGTGCGCGGCCGCAGCGCGCCCGTCCCAGTGCCTTGACTGCTCACCGGATCCTGCGCCTCATCGCGGGCGTCGTTTTTCCAAAATGACTTCTTTAAAAAAGAAAACGAATGTTTTAATGAATTGTCTGGAAAGGACCTCTCCATTCGAGCATTAACGTTGCCTTTTGTGTTGGTGCGTGTGAGCTTGTCCTCGTGAACCTGCGACAGCACTGTTCGTTCTGTGAGCTGGAAACAAGAAAAAACACGCCCTTGGATACCCATCGCCGTAACTGGAAGAAAATGATGTGAACTTCATGAGTGACCCGAGCAGAGGTGGATAAGATGATAATTTCTCAGATAGACCTTTTTTTTCTGTTTGATACGTTGCGGAGCCGTCATCTGGTCCTTGGTGTTACAGGATGTGGTTGATAAAGGCTTCCAATATGGTTTCAAGCCAAAACCAGGAAAGGTTCTCGCTTCGACCTCGTATGTGTTTCTGTTCTTTCAGCATTAGCCGTGGTTGCTGTTCAAGTTTCAAGACATTCATTCTTAATTTACAGAGAAGAGTGTAGCCCCCCTCCCCCCAGCAGCTTGACCATGGAAAACACGTACGGATGGCATACGTTTGATTTTCCCTCTCTCCCTTTTCGGTATATATGTTATTAACGTTATTATTAATATATTTTTAGTTCATCGGTTTCCTGGTCTCTGCAGTCAGCAGAAACAAATGGGCAATATTTGTCCTGGGAGACCTGGCTGCTCCCGGGTCCCCGTGTAAACCTTTGCCTGTGGCTGCCGCTGGCACCCTTGGGCGGTAGCTCTTCTGCTATACTCAGACAAGCCTTTCTTCCGTGACTGCAGAACCCAGCGGGGGCCGTGAGCGGCCCTCCCAAACACGGCCAAGGAGCAGCTCAGAGAGGGGAGAGCGAGGATGCAGGCGTCCGGGGAGCAGGCGTGGAGGAGCGAGGGCGTGCCCGGAGCACTGCAGAGGCGGCTTCCAGAAGCCAAGGCAGTGAGGAGCACGTCACTCACGAGCAAGGTATCCCCAGTCTTCCTGCTAAGCCCAGTCCAGGCCTTACCCAGCTGTGCTACTGTCATTTGCAAAGCGAGGAAATACTACTACTGGTAATAAAACTACACATGCAAGATGTCAGATGAGAAACAGGTTTATATTTACCTTCCTGCGATTCGGGGTTGGTGCTTGAAGATAAATGTGCTGTTTCTAGTTTCTTAAATAGCCCAAACCCCTGGGTGCAAAAAGGCAGGATTCTTTTTACCCATGAGCATCCTGTGCCAGCGATAGACTCCCCCGCTGGAGAACCTGCAGCGAGGAGGATGTATCCTACTGTAGCTGAGCTCGAGGACGCCGAGCCAGCCCGTGCCGGGGATCCCTGTGTTCGCTCCACTGGGAGCCTCCTGCCTCCCCTGGGGCGGCGTCCCTCTGCCCCACGTCCCTCCCCCGGCTCCCCACGGCCCCTCGGGCTCCTTTACTGAGACTTGTGCACACAGGGCCACACACGCCCCCTTTTCTCCACTTCACCATTTCTAGTGGCTGGAATCCAACCTGCCAGACTTCAAAGGAAGATAGATAGTTGTGAGATACTGAAAAGTGATGTCTTTGCATACGAAAGGAAAAAGGTTGAGGTATATATGATTTTAACTGTATTAGGGATGTATGAACCAGTTTAAAAACGAAGTTTTATTTACTGTAGAGATGAATACAAATCAGAACCAATGATCCCTTGGTCTACTTAGTTAAAACCAGTTCATACATCCCTTAGGGTTTTTTATTATTATTATGATTGTTATTGTTATTTTTGTTGTTGTCATTATTTGGGGTTTCTTTGTGTTTTGTTTTTCTTTGCAACTCCCCACACTAAACTCGCAATATTGTGGGGAGAAGCCGTGACTAAACTCTACGCTGCGGTGAGATGTAGCAGGAATCAGCTCCCGGCCACGTGCAGCCGGGGCTGCAGCTCGCAATAATCACTATTGATTTAAAGCTTTATTTAGCCTTCATCTGTACCCTCGTAGTCAATAAGGTCTTGCCACATTTTATTAGTGAGGTTGAGAAATGTATTATTTGTTTGTTGTTCTGCCCCTCCCCCAATATTAAACTGTGAAATTTGTGATTTGTTTAAACTCTGGGTGAATCATAGCTTAGTTTGCATGTCCAGCTAATTTGTTTCTATACATTTTGTTTGATTCTCTTTCTCCTTCTCTCAGGGCTTTTACAAAAAAAATATATATATATGGATCTTCTGAAAAGTTTTTTGAGGTGCAAGTTTTTTCTCTTTTGTTTTTTCTCTTTGATTAATGGACACAATGCTGAGATTCAGTCACTACATGAAACACCTGGCTGTGAAAACAAAACAAAAAAGACCCCAAAGGCTGTTTTCCAGGCAGCGCTGGGGAAGCTACGTAACAGTCGGATGCCAGTTTCAGAAAGATTCATCATACGTTCTGACCCTCTGTTTGTCTCTTTCCTCTCCTCTCTTTCTTCAAGAAGGAAGTTGATCCTAGTGATTTCAGCCCATGCATTAAACAGGAAACAATAATAAATGTGTAGAATTCATATTTCTCTAAAGGGAACTTAAAAACTGCTGCTACATGTTATGTACAAAACTGGTTTATGCCACATGAACAGAGAATCACAAGTTTGGTTTTGGTACTTTTTGTTCCTCTCGTATTCAGTTGTATAGAACTTCCAAATTGAGAATGAAAAGAAAGCTGTTCTGTATCAAACCATCTAAGCAATAAATGTTATATTTTAAAAGCGGCAGATTGCCGGTCACGTGGCCGTCCTGTGATTTGCTGCAATCCCGTCCCCAAACCCGCAGCCCGCTTGGGGCAGGCCACAGGTATCAGGTGCCATCGGGGAGTCACAGGCCTGCTTCCCAACACCGCGGGCATCCCGGGTGCCCGAGAGAGTGCCGTCAGCTGGGCAGCATCTTCAGAAAGCGCTTGGCTGCAGTCGTGGGGGCTGCCTTGAGAGAGAGAGTGGAATCGCCTCCGTCTGAGCTTCGGAACGAGAGACGTCGTCCTGGGCGCACAGGGCCAGCAGGTGAGACCGAGGCAGACACCACAGTGCAGGCCTCTCTCGGTCACTGTTCAGCAGCCGCTAAAGCCAACGATTCTGTTCTCTGTGCTCCCTCTCCTCTAAGAAGCCCACCTTTCCCTCCCTCTTCCTCCAAGCCCGTTGCAAGGGACTGAGTCAGCACTGGTGGAGGGAGGACAAATCTGCTAGTGCGGGCGTGTTTCAGTGAGCCAGGGAGGGGCAGGTCAGGACCCACAGTGGGGGGAATCTGTCACAAACAGCAATGGGCAAAACCCCACGTCCTCTAACTAGGAAGTGGTTCTCAAAAAGCAGCACCGAAGGGAGCTGGTTACAGAGGAAGCTAATTGCAGATACGCTAGGATTACGCATCGCGTGTGCTACACTATGCACGTCTAAGTGCCAGGTCGCTGCGGGACCGGAGTTGTGGCCCTGTGGTCCTTAAGCCTCCCCAGGCCCCTCTGTTGGGTGTCCCTCACCCCTCCGTCACCAGGAGACTGGCTCTGAGGAAATAACAGTGAGGGTCCTGACTTGTATTAAATAAAACAGCCAAATAACTCAGAACTGATAAGCAGCTCACAGGAGACAGCCCTCTAACCTGGGGGGCGTGCTGCTGGCCTCTGAGCACCATTTACAGCCCCCATGTGGATGGACTCGGTTTCCTGATGGAATTTGGACCACACCCACCCGATCACTGTGAGGCAAGGGGCAGTCCCTGCGGCCGAGATACAAAAGACCCTGGCGCTTGGACCCTGCAGCCAGCGCCACCCCCACCGCACCCCACCACGCTGCGTGTGGAGCGCAGGGGACCTGAGAGAGGGCATTCAGGCGGTGAAGAGATGGAATGAATTAGAAGAGCTCTGCCATTTACTTAAAAGGAAGTCTGATGTTGGGCAAACGCTGTCGTCCTGGGCTGTTATGTCTGTTTCCAGCACAGAGGAATTGAAGCCGGGCTGGGGCCATCTCAGGGCCTGGAGGGAAGTGAGCTGCCCCTTCCCGAGACCCAGAGCTCCCCGCAGACCGTCCTATCCACGTGCCCTCATGCCGGGGCGCCCCAGCTCCCTGTCCAGGGCTGAGCCCCACCTACACTTCTGTGCTGGGCACTGGGCGGCAGGGCCTGGGAACACACGGCTGCCAAGGCGGGCAGGGGCGTGGCCGGAGGGCAGGCAGGGCCTGTGCGAGCGGTGAAGGCCTCTAACCCGTGCGGCTTCCTCCGCGGCTGTCCTGGAGGAGGGAGTTAGCCACATGCACAGTGGGCACATTTTGCAGAATTTATTTTTAGGCTCTGATAGCGATTTATATTAACATGAGCCTCATCATTAAGAATAACCTGTTAATTAGGTAAAAAATTTGGTTTGGGTTTCTATAGTGCCTTCAAAGAATCTCGAGCAACACAGACGGCCCCACCTGTGGCTCTCTGCGTCCTCCCTTTGAACTCTCCTTTCCGTGTTTATGTCACCTGTTAGAAGATGGGGAAAATGAAAAGAGCCTACGTTTAAACATCAGTTTTGCTTTTGTAGTTGTCAGAAATAAAGCAGATACGGCCCGTGGATGATACTGAGCTTTCGGCGACGTTTCGGTTGTCTGCTCCTTCCCAAGACCCAGTTAACCTCGATTGTGCATTTATTCAACAGAGCGTTTGCAGGGCAGCCGCTGTGTGCCCTGCACTGTCCTGGGCACTGAGGAGACAGATAGAGCAGAACAGACTTTGCTTGTAGAATTTAAGCTCCAACAGTGGGGGATGGGCTGTAAACAGATTAGGCGGAAGGTAGAGTGTGTCAGAGTCATCCAAGGGGAAGAGGAAGCCACGAGGGGGCGGGGGCAGGAGGGCCAGACAGGCCTGAGGGACAGCCAGCAGTAAGGAAGTCACCCACGCAGATGTCTAGAAGGGACACTGGCGAGCAAGGCCCCTGCAGGATGTCAGGGAGATGAGTGCAGTGGGCGAGGGCGCAGAGGGGACGCTGGCCTCACACTGGCAGTGGGGAGACGGACGGGTGGGGGCAGAGAGACCACCGCAGCAGGGCCACAGTAACGCAGGCAAAAGATGGCAGCAGGCCAGGCACGGTGGCTCACACCTGTAATCCCAGCTCTTTGGGAGGCTGAGGCGGGAAGATTGCTTGAACCCCGGAGTTTGAGACCAGCCTGCGCAACATGGTGAGACCCCTTCTCTACAAAAGAAATTTTTTTT